GATGAAAAAATCCAAAATGAAATTAAATTCCAACAATTATCAAACCAGCAAATTCATGAAATTACATAAATAATCAAATAACAATCACATCAATTGTCATATAAAAATAAATTCAACAATAAGTATTTAGGCATGGCAAACAGATGATTTAATAATTTTTCCATAATTTCTGAATTTACTACACAATAATGCCTAAAACTTTAATTCAATGAATTTTGCACGTATAAGCCCGAGTACGTACTCGCTACCTCGCGTACACGGCTTTTTACATTTCACAAATGGCACATAAGACTCAATGCCTAAGGGGAAATACCCCCACTCGAGGTTAAGCAAGACACTTACCTTTTTTGAAGTTAGGCCGATATTCCAAAATAGCCTTCTTGCTTGAATTGACCTCCGGATAGCTCAAATCTATCCAAATTAATTGTACAACTTCATTAAAATTCATCGAAAATAATTCTGGTGAATAATACGTCGACTTAAAATTTTATTCCAAAAATCAACAAAAGTCAACGCAGGGCCCGCCCTTCGAAACCCAACATACTTTTCATTAAATTCGAACACCCATTCCGATACGAATTCAACCATACCAATTTTATCGAATTCCAATAACAACTCGACCTCCAAATCTTAAATTTATGTTTTTGGAAGAATTTTGTAAAAATCTTAATTTTTTCCATTTAAATCCGAATTAAATGATGAATATAATCATAGATTCATGAAATATAATCACTTTAGGATATAGAACACTTACCCAAGTCAAAGTCTTGAAGAACTCCTCCAACATCGCCCAAAAACCGAGCTCCAAAATCTCAATCGAAAAATGGCGAAATGACCATTTTTGGTCCTTAACATTCTGCCCAGTTTCGCACCTGCGGACTAATTTTCCGCATCTGCGGCCTTGCTTTTGCGAGCCAAGATGCGCATCTGCGATGATCACTGCCCAGCCACAAGCTCGCACCTGCGGAAGAGCTTCCACTTCTGCGCTCACGCAGGTGCGGGAAATGCTTTTCACCTGCGGCCTCAGTCCAGCCCAGCCAATTTCGCTTCTGCGAGCTTCATCTCGCTTCTGCGATGGTCGCACCTGCGCCCGAATTTTCGCAGGTGCGATTCCAACAGGTCTACCCAGAAACAGCAAAAATTCCAGTATTTTCAACAAGTCCAAATTCGATCCAAACCTCGTCCGAAACTCATCCGAGCTACCCGGAACCTCGTCCGAATTTACTAATAAGTCTCGTAACACAATACGGACCTACTCGAGGTTTCAAATTACATCACACAACACCGAAATTACGAATCGCGCGTCGAATCAAATTTTGAGTTTTTAAATCTTCCAACTTCTATATTTTGCGCCGAAACATATCAAATCAATCCGGAATGACTTCAAATTTTGCACACAAGTCATAAATGAGACAAATACAGGATTCAAACCAAAACTACTGAATTCGGCTGAACCCGTTTTCGGCACTCTAGCTCTGCCCCTGCTTTTAACTCATTGTTAATTTTATTAAGCAGTACTAAAATTATATCGACAAGAAATTAATTACTTGACATGTTGCTTGTATTACTCTTTCGCGTCCTTTTTATCTGTCACTTTAGTGAAAAGATTTGATCCAAAATACTTGTCACTTTAGAAAATACCGTAAATAAGGAGGTAAGACTTGTCACACCGTTCCAATAGTTTTCTCCCTCTTTTTTTTAGTTTTATATATATATATATATATATATATATAATTATTTATTAGAGTATAAATTGTGGGTTGACCCACATGGATGATTCAAACACTATTTCCTTAAGAGTGGCCAATCAATCTAGGAGTTCTGGCTAGACCAATCTAAGAAATATAAGATTGAAAATGTATCAAATTTCTTTTCCCCCCTTCCTCATGCATATATCTAAAGCAGCCTAATGATTTTGCCAAATTAATATGGGGTTTCTGAATTTTCTTGCCCTAGAGAGTATATAAGCTAGTGATGCTCTGACCCGAATAGCTCGGGCCACGTGGAATCCCGTGTGAATCAAGAAGGACCAACTGGCAAGGCGAAATACTCTTGTGTGACCAATACTTATTTAACCATNATATATATATATTATATTAAAAGTGGGAAGACTTTGAGTTAAAAGTTAATTTACGAAATTATCCGTTAAAAATCAGAGTGACAACTTGAATCAAATAAAGCCTTCTACTAAATATCTCTATTTTGGATTTTACTATAATTGGAGAGGAAGCATATACAGATCAAGAAAAAGTAGTACCTTTGTTTCCGTGTTTGGATTGGTAAAGAAATCTTTCCTGTATATTATTGATTATTTTAGTACTCCAAAATATTGTTTGATATAGATTTTGTACTAAATATATTCTTGTAGTACTGATGAATTAGTATATCCTATTAAACTAAAACAAAATAATCCTTTCGATATTAATATGCAAAATGTAAAAGGTCTTGGATTCAAAAGATTGCAGTTCGACCTTTCTTATTCGAATTGGAATCCCTTTGCTCGACAAATATGGAATGAGAGTAGCTTGACTTAAAAAATAGAAAAATATGGGTATGTAATGAACTTTTCAACCTAATTTGTCTGCACTATTCATTTGTAATCAAAACTAGAATCCTAAAATTATTCTTTCTCACAATATCTCTTCTATATGTTTGATTTGAAGATATCTAAAAATTGTAGTATTATGAAGTGACAAACTGGAGATATAAAATATAAAATACTAGATATATTTAGACGTACAACAATCATCTTTTTATATTTTGATCTTGCATTTTACACTTTAAATATTATTTATATCTCACATAAGGGTGTACAAACCGAACCGGAAAACCGCATCAAACCGAAAAGTCAAACCAAACTAATTAAAAAGCCCGATTAGGTTTGGTTTGATATGGTTTGGTATTGAGTAAAAAAAAATTCAAACCAAACCGGCATATAAATATATAATTTTTATATATACTTTTAAGACTTTACATAGAATTTTCTTTAAAAGAATATCTAGAAATATTTGTAATTCTCTTATGGAATGTAATATTTAGTTAAATATGAAGTTCTCTATTTTTATTAACTTTAAATAATGGGTTGTATGATCACTTTCTTATCAAGTGTTAGTGTAATGCGTCAATCTCTTTGTTCTTCCATATTCATATGTCAAGATCTATTAAATTCTTATATCTTTGTCGAACGTGAAGTGGTATTTCGACAATTTAAAATTAAATAGAACATATCATATGTATCATATTGATTTTTATGTTCAATTATTAAATTCAATTAACCTTGAAAGTGTACATCAACGAAAAATTATTGTACAACTAAAAAATTAACTATCATATGTTAATAAGAAAATTCTCCCATAGGAATATGTCAATAGATCATATGTTTGTCATTTTTTTCAATTTTCACTAAACATATATTTACTTATCAAAAATTTACCAAAGTAAGATTGAAATAATATTCATGTAACAAAAAAACTCGAAAAATATGATAAAATCGAACCAATCCAAATCGATATAGTTGGTTTGGTTTGATTTTGATAAAAATCGAACCAACCTGATCCATGTACACCTCTAATCTCACATATGTTAATATTGTTGTAATATTCAAATTGTTATACGGATTGACATAAAATATACGTGCAATGCACGTGGTCAAAACTAAATGACTATTTTGCCTTGTTATACTAAAAGGGAGAACCCCATAACCTAAAAGTTAAATTACCAAACTGTCCTTCTATAAAATTTAAGTGTTTTGTTTTTTTGGTTAAAAATATTCTTATGCAATGTAACTATACGTAACTCTTGAAATGAATAGTCACAACTTTAGCTTTTGCTTCCAATTAGCAACCCCTAATTTCATTTGCAAACGGTGACACTACGAGAAGGTGGTTGTGAATAGGCATTGACAGACAAAATTTAGATGATTGACTGGTTTTAAAAGGTGCCTAATACAATTTGAATCCAAAGTTTTACCAATTACAATTTTATTGGAGCAATCTGCTAGCGTGACAATATAATTAAACTAGAATGCAACGTGAATTTGCTTTTAAGAGCCCACAAAAAATATCAAATATATTTTCTCTCAACTTAATGAAGTATCACATGGATCCTCCTTTCCACAATATATTTTACATTGTGACACAAACCAATCAGTAGGAATATTGAGAAGGTTTGCAAAGAAATGAAAATTTGCACTTGGAAGTACATGCAAAAAATAGAGAACCATACTCCAAAATTTGGAATTAGTGGTCGACGACTTTAGATTTCTGTTTTTATCTTCCATTTTTTTCAAGGATTTCTTGCAAAATCAGGTTCTGCTTACTTTATATTATTTAATTAGTATGTCCTTTGCGATTTTTGAAATCTGATTTTTATAAATATTAGTAGGATAGATGTTCATTGTATGATATGATGATCTCAAAATATTAAAGATTAAAAGACCTTTTATATGCGTATAAATAATTATTGTTTTGGACATTATACTTGAAAAAAATAATATTTAAAAATACACGTGCCCGAGAAACTAGTATATTAAAACTGAGCAATAATACTATCACTCTACTACTCATCTGCACTTCCAAATTCTTCAGTTGGATATGTGTATTCTTCTCGTCTTTATCCTGAGTGTAGAACATTGTTGCTTGTCAAGATTAAGAAGTCTTTTCCCATGTGATGTGAGGTCTCACGATTTTGACATAATGTTATTAATTTCTAATTTGACATTTTTTTTTCATCTGGAGTGCGACCTTTTTCCCCGGATCATGCGTGAACGCGAAGTGCTTTGTGAACCGGGACTACATACTTCTGCAATAGGATTTTCCCTAAATGCCAATGCAAGAAGATATATTTACTTGTTGGGCTAAACCAGTCTAAAGATACTCTTAATAGTTAAGCCCGCACGGTTTTTCCTAAAATGTCTCACACAAAGTTCCATGTGACCCACTGTCACGATCCACGAGTCAATTTCCGTGATTTATTGTGTGTCACTCACATTGTTAGAATATTTATGACAATCGAAGCCCGCAAGTAGCTTCTTTTTGTGTGCGCGTCTCCAAACCGAGCCTCGTTCCATCATTCTTCCATCGCCATACTGGTCTCACTGAAGGCTTACAAGCTTTAAACATGAGACTCCAAATGATAGTTCCAACAACTAGTCCACAACTATATCCAATGACTACTGATTCCCATGTAAATCCACTTACAAAATATGATTCCTCTTCTTCTTCTTCGGGCTCAAATGGTTGTGGAACATGCGATGGATCACTCGTTCCACATTGCTTTAATAAAGGAGAACCACATAATTCAAGGTTGCCACCATATGTCGAATTGTAGACCTTGAGGAATCTGTCCAACAAGACGATTCTGAAGAGGTTTAAGACTGCCAGAAAGTTTTGTCTTGTCAATTCCTTTGGAATATTTCCTGCGAGTCGATTCCAAGAGAGATCTAACGTTTCAAGCATATTCAATTGCCCCAGTTGTGTTGGAATATCACCTCTGAGATTGTTATGGGATACATTGAGTAGCCAAAGTGAGCCAAGATCCTTTAGAGTTTTCGGAATTACACCATCAAAATGGTTGCTTGAGAGATCAATGGCCGTCATTATTGTAGTGATTCTTTCTAGCTCAATATCCTGGCCTTTAATCACCAACCTCACTGAATCCTTATACATTATGTCATATATGCCAACATTATGTAGTTCCATATATTTGATCTCGCCTTTGTCTGATCCATCTAATTTTGTCATTGATATGAAGTTGTCAAATACTTTTGCATGCAGTGAGCCACTGAATTCGTTTAGAGAAAGATCGAAAATCCTCAACATGGGAAAGCAAAACTTAGTTTGGCAAGGACTTAAAGGTCCATGGAACCTGTTCGACTTAAATATAAGGACTTGCAACATTTGAAGAGTTCCTAACCAAGCTGGAAATGTGTCATTTATAGCGTTATTACCCACATCAAGGACCTCTAAACGATGACAATTGAGCAACGACAGAGGGACATGTCCTTCAAATTGATTACCATTCAAGACAATGGTCGTCAATGAAGTGCTCCGAATACACAATGGTGGAAGACTCCCATTGAAATTATTCTTTCGCAAATCCAACACCAATAGCTCAGCCATGCTGCCAAAGCAATTTGGAATTGATTCGCTGAAGTTGTTGCATGATAAATCCTAAAATTCAAGGCTACTCATGTTACAAATGGATGAAGGTATTGGACCCTGCAGGAAGTTGAACTTAAAATCAAGAATCCTTAGATCATATTGATGAAGTTGTTCTAGGTGGCCTGTAAGTGAATTAAGTGAAACGTTGAGGTATTGCAACGAGTCCCATCTCATGCGGCTAAACCAGTTAGGGATTGGGCCATGAATCTTATTGTTAGAAAGATCCAAGATCTGAAATTTCTTTAAATTTCTCAACAAGTATGGGAAATCCTTCAGTTCACAAGATGATAAGAGCAAAACTCTTAGACTTGGGAAAGCGATTTTGCTACTCTTCCATGATAGCGGATTATAGTAAAGATCTAAATAATCAGGTCTTTGCATGGTCATAAAGATTTCTATTCCTACATTGTCAGTGATGTTATTTGATGAGAGGTCAAGCTTGAATAGGTTTACCAGATTTTCAAGTGATCGAAGAACAGGACCGCTGAGTTGATTATGACTTAAATCCAATACCTTTATTGCTGGGTTCGTCTTCAGCTTATCAGCAACATCTAGTCTACTGAATCGATTATGATCGAGCATCAAATATTCATAGGACGGAATGTTAAAAACCCAAGATGGTATTGTGTCATTCAGTAAGTTGTGAGACAAATCCATATAAGCTAACTTTTAAAGCATGCTCACATTGCTAGGCAATGGACAAGATAGGGAATTACTCGACAAGGCTAAGCTTTGAAGACTCCCCAAGCTTAAAATGGAAGAGGGAAATGGACCGGTGAAGATGTTTTTAGAAAGATCCAATTTAACAAGCTTTTGAAAGTTAGAGAAAGCATTGGGAATGTCACCACTAAGGGGGTTAGATGAAAGATCTAAACTTATGAGCTGCATCAATTTAGAGATAGTTGAAGGAATATGGCCTGTGAAATGATTTTCGTTCGAGGTTTAAATTGGTAGAAGATAAAAGCTTTCTGTAAAAACACCTAGCAAATTGGTTGCTTCAAGATCCACGTACCTTAAGGAGGACGACATATTGATACCTATCGGAGATGAGATGATGACAGTAGAGAGAGAAACTACCTCCAGATTTGTCAAGTTCTGAAGCAGTGTTTCAAATGTTTTCTGATCAAGTTCACACCAAGAAAAAGAAAGATCAAGTGAAACCAAATTGGATAGGTATGAGATTTCTGTTGGGATTTTACTACTAAACGAAGAGCCAGAAAGGTTGAGCTGCCTCAAATATGTCAAGCGGCCAATATCACTTGGAATTACAGACACATTGAAAAAATTGAAAGCAAGGTTTAGTGTCTGAAGATGATGAAGTTGAAAAAGGCTGCTGTTCTGATGTATAGTTCCATTTAGCTTACTACAGCTAAGATCCAGGCCGCTAACGTGCCCCGTTAACATGTCACAAGTAACTCCATCCCAAGTGCAGCAATCTGTACTCTCATTCCAAGACATTGTTTTCGGGAAAGAAGTTTGGAATCCATAACATAACCAACTAGACTCGTTGTATATTTCAAAAGGTTTCTTGAACCGGAGCAAAGCATAAGCTTCACTAGGAGAGAAAAAATGATGCACAAGGGAAGAAGAAGAAAAACTTTTACTTAGCAACGCAAAACAGATAAGTAAATAAAAGAAAAAGATACGTCCCATTTTTTTGGTTTATTTTCAGCAAATAACTGAATGTTCTTACAAAATCAATTATCATTATCCGTGTATATATAGTTAGTTGAACTCGTGAGTCATATCACTGTTTACTTGTAAAACGATATAGTTGAATTTGTTTGTGGTTTCTAGACAGATAAATCAATTTAATCTCATTGATAATGAATTAATCGATTGAAATATAAGATACTTAGCTCAAAATATAGATGAAATGATAGATTCGAAGAGCCCGGGAACAATGTTTCCAGATACAATGATGATAATATTAACAAGCGAGAGAAAGAGAGAGAAAAGATATCAGATTGTTGTGTAGAATTTAGTCAATGTATTCTAGAAAACTCGTGCTTACAATGGTAGTTGAGCATATTATTTATAACTCAGTGGGTGTAATGGCCGGGCCCACCACTAGTGAGAATTATTGGAATGTGATAATGGAAACCTAACGGTAAACACAAATGCTCAGATTTCTTTAATGAGCCATTACTCATTAATGTTGTGGAATATTCTTCATTAAATGTCATCGGGCGCAGCATGCTTAATGCCCTTATGAACTTGCCTTTCTCGGTGACACACGAGGTAATTGTGCCCGGTTTTGATTCCACGTGTCCACTTCTTAGATGGCCACGTAACATACTGTATTTTACCCAATACATATAGTCCCCTGCTTTTCCGGTCACATTTCTTTATGTTACCGGGAAGTTGATGAGAATCCTCTTTTGGTGGGAATTACTATAATTCCTTTTGTAGGTTACTAATGGTTGATTAGACGCCTGCCTCTCCGCATTTAATGCCTATAACATGCATCCTCTTATGATTTAGCATGCCTTCTGCCAATTATCGCTCTTCATCTCTTCTCTACTTCTTCCCAAACACAAAATTTCTTATTTCCCTCTTCTAATGGCTTCTTCATCTAAACGTTCTAGTTCTTCGAAAAATAAGAACAAAAACGAAGATTCTGCTCCTCTAACAGTAAGTTCCATAATCTCCAAAAGACTCAGTGTTTCGAAGGATTTTGAGCAACAATTTCCTACTGATAACCCCCGTTCATAGGCGATTAGCAGGTACCCATCTTCCATCCGTCTTAAAGAAGGAGAAATATTGTTGGTCTACCTGGCGGTCTCAGAAGTTGTGGTAAGTGCAATTTTGGTCCGGGAGGAAAAAGGTACGCAATTCCCCACATATTACGTTAGAAAAATTTTAACGGGAGCAGAAACTCGCTACCCACATCTGGAAAACCTGGCTTTAGCTCTCATGGTAGACGCCCGAAAGCTGAGGCCCTACTTCCAATGCCACCCAATAGCGGTGGTGACTACTTTTCTTCTGTAGAATATCCTCCATAAACTCGAGCTCTCAGGTAGATTGGTCAAATGGGTCGTCCAAATGAGCGAGTTTGATATAGAGTATAAGCCACAGATTGCGATTAAGTCGCAGGTCCTAGATGACTTCGTAGTCGATTTCAGCCTAGGGTTGATGCTCCTTGCTGCCAAAGAGGCAATAATAGCGTCACATCCAACAACGGGAGTCTGGACTTTATTTACCGATGAAGCTTCAAATGTGAAAGAGTTCAGGCTCAGAATAGTCCCGGTCACGCCTTCGGTGGAAACCTTAAGGCAAGCCATCAGGACGGTTACTTTAACAAATAATGAAGCGGAATACGAAGCTTTAATTGCAGGGCTCGAATTGACCCGGGCGCTCGACTCCGAAGCAATCAACATCAAATGTGACTAGCAACTGGTGGTAAATTAGGTCTACGGAATTTTTGATACCAAAGATGAGCGAATGCAGTAGTACGTAGTAAAGGTTCATTCCTTGTGGTCACGATTCCAGGAGTGGTCAATAACCCACATGCCGAGGGAAGAAAATGTGGAAGCATATGCGTTAGCAAATCTGGGCTCATCAACAAAAATTCAGGGACCGGAATCGGGGAGGGCAGTTAAATTGATGAACTCAACCTTAGACACTAATGGTTACTATGAGGTGAATTCAACCAATCAGGTCTGGGACTGGAGGAATGAGATAATCGATTATCTCGAGTACGGAAAACTGCCCAAAGACCCTAAAGCATCTAGAGTGCTATGCACCAAAGCCTCGCGATACAGCTTCGATAAATGCCAATTATACAGAAAATCATTTCAAGGCTTGTTGGCCTGATGCTTAGGAGCGTCGGAAGCCAGCTACGTTATGAGAGAAATCCATGAAGGATTTTGTGGCAACCACTCGGGCGTAGATTCTTTGGTGCTGAAATCAGTCTGGGCAGAGTACTATTAGCCCTGTATGGATCTAGATACCAAGGACTTTGTACGAAAATGTGATAAGTACTAACACCGCGCACCTCTGGTACATCAACCAGCAGGACCATTACATTTAATTTTGTCCCCGTGGCCATTCATGAAATGGGGAATGGACATCGTCAGAGCTCTACCACCGGCTCCGGGAAAGGTAAGATTTCTTATAATTTTGACTGACTAGTTTTCCAAATAGGGGGAAGCAGGTCCTTACCAAAAGATCGGAGAACGCGAAGTAGTCAACTTCCTGTAAAAGAATATAATTCCATAGTCGGGATTCAGCTCGATTCCTCTTTGTGAGACCAGGAATACTAAGAATTTACCTGTACCGACCACGAACGCACACTTCTCGGGGTTAAGCTTCATATTTTGCTCCCTCAGTGGGTCAAACATTTCTTGCAGGTGTCTCAGGTGGGTACCTGCATCCAGAGACTTAACGGGCATATCGTTTATATATACTTCTATAGTTTTTCCTATTTGTTTTTAGAGCATCTTATTTACGAGCCGTTGATAAGTGGATCCGACGTTTTTTAATCCGAAGGACATTACGTTGTAACAATATGTACCAAAATTTGTAATAAACGAAGTATTTTCCTGGTCTTTCGGGTTCATCTTAATCTGATTGTACCAGAAATAGGCATCGAGGAAACTCATTAACTCGTGCCCGACGGTAACGTCGATCATTTGATCGATATTTGGTAATGGAAACGAGTCCTTCAAGAATGCCTTATTAAGAACTTTATAATCTACGCACATGCGAAATTTATTATTTTTCTTAAGAACTACTACCACATTAGCTAGCCAGTCTGGATACCTTACCTCCCAGATTGAACCAATCTTACGTAGGAGGGTTACCTCTTCTCTGACGAATTTATTCCTTACTTTTGCAATAGGGTGCTTCAATTTGGGTCCATATGGTTAAGATCGGACCTCATCGGTCTCGGGAACCGATTCTCTTTGATATCTCTCATGACCGACACTAACTCCACCACACTGTGAAGTTATATTTTGATAACTTTGGATAGGAAAGACCTCGTGGCCCCGGGGTCTCTCTATCTTGCAACGATTTGTTATTCCGCCCGCGATCAGTTCTCCTGTTATCGGTAAACATGTCCACCGAACAGAAGCTCCTGTCGTGACCTTCCGCCTATTCGTAGGGTAGAAAACGGCCCCTTGAAACTCGTCTATTTGAGTCGACATCGTCTTTTACTTTTTCCTTGTTCTTCTCCTGTCCTTTTGCTGATGATGGGAAGCCAACCAGATCGTCTTCGATTATCTTTGACTCATATCGGTTGTGGACATCTGCCCAAGTTGTTTCTTGAAATTCGAGTAGACTTTCCTTCAACTTCCAGGATGCATCTAAACTCCTCGGGTTTAAACCCTTAGTGAACGCTTCAGCTGCCCATTCGTCCGGGATGACCGGTAGCAACATCCTTTTCTTTTGGAACCGGCTAACGAATCTTCGTAATATTTTGGATTCTCCCTGCGCGATATTGAATATGTCGGCTATTCGGGCTTGTACCTTTCTGGCACCGGCATGGGCCTTGATGAACGAATCCACGAGCATTTTGAAGGAATCTATGGAATGCTCAAGCAACAATGAGTACCATGTCAAGGCTCCCCTCGTGAGAGTATCACCAAATGTTTTCAATAACACAGACTCAATTTCGTGAGGATAAAGATCATTTCCTTTCACTGCTGTTGTATAGGTGGTGATGTACTCCTGTGGATATGATGTTCCATCATACTTCGGCAATTCAGGCATTCTGAACCATTTTAGTATCCATTCCGGGGCCGCACTCGGCTTGTACGGTAATTGGGTGTATTTCTTTGAGCTCGGGGTTTCAATACTGGAGGTGCACCTGAGATTTGGTCCATGCGGGCATTTACTTCCTTCATGAACCGCAAGAATTCCTCCTTGAATGGATCGTCATTGTTGTTGAGGCCAGATCTACTCCCCCAGCCCCGTTGGAGCCAGCTTCACCCTTGGGAGTGTTGTTGTCGATTCTCTGCGTTGTTTGGTTTGTAGGAACAACGGGATGAATTGGATATCGCCCGTTTGCATTATTTGAAGCGCCTCATAGCGCCTGTTTTAACTTTGTCATAACCTAATCCTGCCGCATGAGGTAGTCTAAAATGATTGCATGTTGTTCTTGCATGATCCTTACCGCATCTTGTCATACCTCATTTCTTCCCCAAAAGATATATGTGTTATGGATTATTGTGGGTTAAAGAGTTTTTTCAATTAAAGTGACAAATTTGAATAAGGATTATTTTATTTACAGAGTCGCTACTTGGAATTGATTTTTTGGGTATTTCAAGTCACCTTTTATTTGAATCCCTAGTCAAAGGAAGGTTTGACTCTATTATTATTAGTCTGCGAAAACAAAGTCCAGGTAAGGAATTCTGTTGATCGAGGAGAAGGTGTAAGGCATTCCCCGAGTCCCGTGGTTCTAGCACGGTCGCTTTATTGACTACAACTTGGCTTGAATTAATTTTAGATAAATA